AAAAACAAGGGAGACTAAAACTGCCATTTCTGGCTCATTCGCCGTCATCAGCCAGTCCTACTCAACCCCAAGTGGTGCTCAACCCGGGACGTCGTCGCAAGAACTGCCTACCATTTAGGAATATACCTTTACGAACACGTACCCGATATGATTGTGCAAATGCCTCAGCATCAAAAACAGAGGTTTCTTCGATAATGAGACTGAAATACTTACCCTGGGTGTTCGGCTTCCCACCGGCTTTCTAGCCGATCTGGGTGTTGAGGCAAGTGAAGATACCCGCCCACCGATGCGTCGTTTCTCCTCTGCAAGTAGTTGCTCTAGCATTACAGCTTCAGTCTTTTGACGACAAAGGTGTCTGCGCCACCAACGCTGTAGACGTATAACAGCTGATGTTTCGCTCAGCGCCCCAGGGGTGCCCGAATGCTGTGTCGCTTCACCAGCTTCTAGGTTCTTATCTGTTGGAACAAAGTGTACACCTTAGACTAGTATAGTATTCTTGTAGGGCACATATATCTACATTTAAACTGCATATTTCAACACAGACAACTTATCAATTGGAGGATAAACGGAACAACTGGGTAGTATTGAGTCCCTTAAACTATTTTATGACTTCTCGCTGAATCTGTAACTTAAATAATCAGTCAATTTGCCGTGACATTACGTATAGAAGCAAATATGCGTGCCCCAGGTTCTTGTTGTAAAGAAGAGGAAGACGCGATCTCTGGAACAATATTGTTCCAAAGATCGCGTCTTCCTCTTCGTTACATTACGTCTTGACGCTAGCAAGGTTAGATGCTAAAAGTATCAGTAGACACAGCAACTGCGAACACTATTCCGAGGAGCTGCTCTGTACGGTTCGATTTTTCAGCTTCCATATCCAGTACCCCAAAATGTCGGCTAATTGTCTTAGGCTTTTAAACCCCTAATCATGATAAACCCTTTAGAAAGCTTCTTAAAGCCATTATGTATCGCCAATCTTCATAAGCACAAATGCCTAACATTTGACTTCTTCATCGCCAGGTGCACATACACAAATTAGTTGGTACCCTTTATGGTAACTGTGTTTTTTGGACATAACCGATTGCGGTGGTGGAACTCACACAACTGTGTTTTTAAGTGGACTAAGAAAATAAATTACACCGGAAAATATAAATAATGAGAGAAAGTGAAAGCACCGGCTTCCCATCAGTGCTCTGTAAGTGCACTGCAGCGTACGCACATCTTAGCATATTATAAGAACTTCATTATTCTTGTCACGTGGGCGATCTAATATGATATGATGCCACGAAGGTCAACGCTCCCACCCTCATGCACGCAAAATGCCTTCGAGCTGTATGAATTTCCCTTTTCCTAATACTTCCACTAATAAAATAATAGCTATTTATTCGCATTTCAGATGTTAAGAAGTGCTGCCTGTATTTAAGCATACTTTTTTAAATGGCACAAGCACACACAAGGATAAAAGGGAGTTCGTAGAAATGCTTTGCAGGGAATACCAACCTCCACTTGCGTGTGTTGGATGAAAGAGCTGCTGGATCCTGGGTGTACACTCTGTTACAATCCGATTGGAGGGTTTATACTCTGGCTCCCTGTCAGACACCAGCGTCTCGTCGCTTTCAAAAGAATTACGCGGCGACGACGAGCGGTCACTAAGACCCTCAAGTTTTTCGACGGGCGTAACTCTGCAGCCGGATCCGACGTGATCGCCCCGCGAGTTAACCTAAAGGCAGGAGGCAATTTAGCTGACAAATTGCCATTTAGAGCTAAAAGTTGGCATTAGAATGCAGTTCAAAATGGCGAATCTCGTCTAGCAGTGGCACTCCACGGAAAACCAGTAAGATACAGTGTTTCGAACTCTTTTTACTAATTCCTACTACTTTGTAATTTCTATTGTCCTGTTAACTCATATAGTTATTTTTGAACAGCTTAGTGCATAATGACTGTCATCATTTATAGTATGTATATTATGCCAGAATTTACTAACTTGAGCAACAGTCAAAGTAGGAAGGCAGGAAATGTCTGCTAGACTATCGGATCTGACACCGAGTATTCTGCTGACTGAGCTATGCACGAAGTATACCAGCTCCGATATAAATGACTCACAAAGTTAGCCTACCAGTCACTCTGGCTTCTGCCGAAGCTTTATTAATTTGCAATCAACTCGTATAGAGCTATGACTAAATCGCTAAACTTTATGAAGATTTTTCTACCTATTCAGGATAGAAATTGTGCATTTAGATTTTAAGAAAAAACTTTTTAAGTGGAAAAGCCGAAATAAACAGAAACTTACTGAAATAGTAAGGATGAAAGGTAAGGTATCCTTAGAAACATATGAGTCAGAAATTATTTTGCAGGTAAAAACTTGAGACACAAATTCTTTTTTTCCAATCAATTCTCACTTCTCCTTAGTATGAGTCGTTCGAAACAAATGTGAACTGAGACAGCGTATTATTTAAAGGTATCCTAGACCACCGGTACAGCACATTCTCGAATTGGATATGTTTTTAGTCCTTTAAGCCTGGTGACGCCCTTCTCTATTTTATTCTCAAATTCCGTTTAATAAACAAAGTAAACTTTTACTTATTACGTTGGCATATTTTAGTATCAGATAAAAGTTTATACGTAACATATATCAGTCATTCTTAAGTTACTGACAACAATTTCCATTGGTTTAACGTCAGATACTAAAACCCACGCAAGCTTCTATGCCATTTTTAATACCACAAGGTTGATATGCAGTGATTTGTTACATATATTCGAAAGTACAGATGTCATCTTTTGACCATTTGGCTGTTTTTTATCTAAGGGTACAGCGGATTACTTTTAAGATTACTCTTGCCTTCGTTTTTCAGGTAAACCTCATTCCTAGTTAATTAGGTGCAAAAGTCAGCTGTAGATTGTCGGTTATTTTATACTCCTTAAGCTGCTGCGAAAGAGGACCTTAGTGGCTCTCCCTATCGTGAATGATTGGCTAAGCAGAAGTTCGAGTAAAAATAAATAAATTTACACTGGGGACAAAATTAACCCACATCAAACTGAAATATACTTTTTCTAGCGGATAATTCGGGTTCACTTGTTAACTAAGTTTAGTTATGAGCGATAAAATGAGTCCCATCGTTGTCAAGGACATTATCTCATTCTAACGGATTTTAAACGAGTCTGTGGGTTAAAAATGCTACTTGATGCGGTGTTGTCTATCACACTCTAACATATAACGTATAGGAGCATATAAAAACATGGCTCAGCGGAAGAAACTGAGCTAGTCATTGCCCCTCGACGTCAAATGACAAGCCGGACAGTTTAAACATAAAGGGCCTGTTAACGCTTGCCTTACTTAAATATAGAAGAGAACGATAACTTCACTCGTAAATAAGACTTTTATCATTAATGATAGCCCTTTGTGCAATGCGTAAATTGACGAAAGAAAACAGAGCACAAAGCTAATGCAAAACAAAACATCCTGTGAAAACTAACCGAGGCAACTTCAATGTTGTTCCAATCAGCGGTCTCATCGTGCCATCCAGTTGCAGAATCGTTCCTCGAAAGGGACGAATAGTATGACACGTTTTCGGCATTAATAGACGAGGAAGAATTGAACATTATCTCAAGACTGTCATTCTCATCCCTTGGCATCTCTTCCCGAGGCTTTGCATTATGTTTTCTTGACGCCTTCACAAGAAAGGCCTTTCTCGCCCCATTGAAACTCCGAAGAGATCTTGAGGTGTTGAGTCGCTAAAGAGACCAAAGAATTGTTGATTTGTTGCTTTAGCTCAACCAGTAAGAAAACGTTTTAGACTAGGCTTTTAAATTTGAAATATGTTGCTGGGGAAACAAACGCAACATGCGGAGTCTTCAAGATGCGGTTGATAGATTACAAAAGTAGATTAGATTGTTATCTAAGGATCCGAGCTTCTGGTATAAGTTAGGCCAAGTGTTAAGTTGAAGACCTTATTGAATAAAAAACCTCTCCTTATATATATTTACACCTTTCCTGAAAACTACGTTTTTAAGAGGGAAATGAAATTGTAAAACTATAGTTTTTCTTTTTCCATATTCTTACAAGTATATTCTCCATAGATTTGGATAGGTTTTTAACAGCTGTGCTTACCTCTTCTTTCAAATTACCATGGAAGGTTACAGCTTCCTTGCGAGTATAAAGCATGGCAAAGATGATGACTGATAAATTATATTATCTTGTCTACGACAACGGAACGTAATCCAAAATAAAGCATGTCTGCTGTACGCGTGAGCTACATATACAAAACATCAGAATCTCCCAACTCTCTAAAAATGTATTTTGGGTTTTGACTGCCTGGACGTATATTCCTAACGGCTGTATATTTGCAAGCAGGGAATTAAGCCAAGCGGACTTATATAGTTCTGCCCTATATGATGCCATTTTACAGACAGATCCAATTAGTATTCAATAAGTTTGAGCCTCCTCATATCAGTATTAGTGGCGAAATAGCACTTTATTCTTTATCAAAGAGTTATTAATGTGGGCAGATAAAATGTTATCATACGCCCCGAATTTTCAGATATGGATGTCAATTTTATTAAGAAGCAAAATTGAAAATTCAGACCTTGATGCGCAAACCGACAGCGTGCGATAAATATGCGTTATAAGCCTAGGACTAGTATGTGAATAAGCAAATGGCAAAAAACTAAGACTTTTTGTAGGTTAGAGAGGACAAAAGCAGTTACACTACAACAGAATAGCGTTTTATTTTACTTAGAATATCATTTCCGTTTGAAATACACACCACAGGATATTAATAAGAACGAGGAGCCTTTGAGGCGATTAAGTGAAAATCTATACATCTAAAAGTGTTGGCATCATTGAGACGTAAGCAGCACAAAATCTTGTTCACATAAACTTACCGAGTGCGGTGCACTACGGTCGGATTTCGCGGAACGTGGTGCTGAAACACCAACCAATTGGAAATCAGATAGCATATCTGAAATGAAGAAACCGATTAATTAAATGTACATTTGAAAAATGAAATTGACGATTACGTTTTGCTGCAATAATAAAAAGTTATTTATGCCAAATATTTAATATAGATATATCAAATGTGTTTCAGATCGCTATTCCAACTCTTTTGGAAAATAGGTGCATACAACTTGAGCATGCAAATGCTCTACACTGTTAAAAGGACCAATAGTAAATCTGGCTTTGTGAACTGTAGTGTCATACTATGTCAAAATCAGTTAAATAGACAATGTCTGATTTATGATGCTGAATACGTATGTACGTTCATTTTATATTTTGCATAAGATTAGATTTTACATGCGCCAACTTGACCTAAGGTGCCTCACTGGCTGGTTTCGGAAGGCGGATTTTATTTGTCTCTGACTTGACCCACAAGTCAACAAAGTAATAAATAACCGTGTTGAATTTTTTCACAAAGTGTCCTTGGTCCTATAACTTAAGAAAACGGAAAATGGATATCTTAAATACTTCGACACCTAAACAATTCAGCGAAAATTACGGGACATATGATCATTGGAACTAAAAAATGATGTCCATCTTTGTTTGGCAAGCTACAGCCTCCAGAAGAACTTTTCGCCGCTCATGGGTCCCAGACTGGAAAGTATGCCATGGGCGGCTGGAGACCAAACCCACATCTGAGCGAAATTCTGATTTATTGTAAATAATCTTCTCGCTTCAGTCTTTTCCATTACACTGCAGTCAATTCAGTGTAAATTAAAATAGTTGTTGCAGGTTATAAATGCGTGTCTTTGTGAAAAAAGACCCTTACGATCTACCCCACGTTTGTCTTCTGTGGAAGAGGAGCAGTCTCGAATCCGTAAGTCATCTGCAAAGCTTGTTTGTTGGAATACCACCTAAATGATATAATGTTTGCAAAGGGTGAGTTTACTCACCCTTTTGCAAACACAATAGGCATATATGCCTAGGATTTCGGTAGTGAATGTATTCTACATGGCCTCAAACCTTGACGTTTTGAACACATCCTGAAAGACCCACAGTGAAAGTTTTATAAATGCAAAATATTTACATTTAGGTTTAAACCTTATTTGCGAATTCGCACAAAAGACGTTTTGCAAATTTGCAAAACGTCTTTAATGTTTTTCAGTATCACTAGCCAACGTATTTCTGGTGCTCGGAAGAAATTTGGGAACCAAATTATGTAAACAATGTTAAACTTAATCTAAAATATGACTACTTGCTCTGAAACACTCACTCAACTTCGACCGAGACTATGCCCGGTTTCGTAAACCGAATGCTCGATGTTTGAAAACGCGACCTACTATTTGTTGATACGCCACGAACTTAAACAAGAACTACGCTGTTGTCGAAGTGCGCATAATCTCGTCTTTATGCATTCCGTTTAAATAACGTTTTATATTTTACTTGCGCCAAGCTCGAGATTTTTCTGGAATCCTAGTTTGCCAATGAATTGTTTAGCAATTACCTGAGGTGTTACTCAAATTGTCGTTCGGTTCAAGGCGAGAATCACACAAACACACACAAAAACGCTGAAATGAACAAAAATCTGCTTATATATTTTTGCATATTTTCAGATTGATAATGGATGCCCACAATTAAAGACCTTTTCCCGGGAGTATAGTTCTCACGTATGAGTTTAAATGGAAGACATTGTATAAACCCCCACGTGAAAATTCTTCCAAAATTTGTCGAATAGTTTAGGATATCCCGAATAACTAAATGATTATAAAAAATGAATTTATTTTCCCGTACTGTGGTCTTTTCTAAACTGCAGATAGAACCTTTTAATGATATCGCTGAAAAGCCAAACTCTAATTCTGGTAACTTTAGACGTCAATTTTATGAAGATAACTATCCGAAGTTATATTATGACGGAAAATGGACGTACACCTGATATATATATATATATATATATATATAT